TGAAGTTCAATTTATCAATCTTTCCTTTATGGATAGTGCTTTTTTTTTTTTTTTTTTTTTTTTTTTTTTTTTTTTTTTTTTTTTTTGCGGTACGCGGGCCTCTCACTGTTGTGGCCTCTCCCTGTTGTGGAGCACAGGCTCCGGACACACAGGCTCAGCGGCCATGGCTCACGGGCCCAGCCACTCCGTGGCATGTGGGATCCTCCCGGACCGGGGCACGAACCCGCGTCCCCTGCATCGGCAGGCGGACTCTCAACCACTGCGCCACCAGGGAAGCCCGGATAGTGCTTTTTGAGTCATGCTTAAGAAATCTTTGCCAAACCCAAGGTCATGAAAATACTTTCTTATGTTAGCTTTTAGAAGCTTTATTGTTTTCCCTTACACAATTAGATCAAAATCCATTTGGAATTTATTTCAACTTAGTTTTAAGAGGGGTCAAGGTTGTTTTTCAACATGTATATTTATATATATTTGACTCAGCAACGTTTATTAAAAGTATCATCTTCTCCCCCTTGTGTTACAGTATCACCAGTGTCATAAATAAAGTGACCATATGTTTATGGGCAGGTTTTTGCACACTCTTCAATTCCATTGGCCTATTTATTCCTGAGTCAACACCATACTTTCTTAATTACTGTGACTTTATTACACATCATGATATCTGCAGCATAAATATTCCAATTTTGTTCTTCTTTATGCTTGCTTACAATCATTTTAGTTCTGCAGTTCCTCTAATTTTTAGAAACATCTTGCCAATTTTCAAAGAGGCACATATATATAGGCAAACACACATCTACTGGGCTTTTAAAATTGAGACTGCATTGACTCTTTAGGTTAATTTGAATAAAACTGGTATGTTTACAATACTAAGTCTTAAAACCATCACCATTGTATATCCTTCCATTATTTTAAACTATTTGTAAATTTTCTAATGTTTTATACTTTTCTGTATAATAGTATTGCACGTATAAACAATTTTTTTTTTGATGTGGACCGTTTTTTTTAAGTCTTTATTGAATTTGTTACAATATTGCTTCTGTTTTATGTTTTGGTTTTTTGGCTGCAAGGCATGTGGGATCTTAGCTCCCCAACCAGGGATTGAACCTGCACCCCCTGCATTGGAAGGTAAAGTCTTAGCCACTGGACTGCCAGGGAAGTCCCAGTATTGCACATTTTAAAACATTTATCCCTGTGTATTTGATGTTTTTATAATTTTAAAAGTATTATATTGTTTAATTGATTGTTACTAATATATAGAAATACAACTGATTTTTGCATATTGACTTTATATCCATCAGCCTTACTAAATTCACTTATTAATTCTAATAGTTGTTTGAAGATTTTAGGATTCCTTCTTTGTTTTGCGTGTTCTCAAGGTTTATACAGATTTATCTAGGTATGGATTTTTTTTCATTACTTTTGCTTAATCTCTTTGATAGTTTTAAATATGCTTCCCATAAAGCAGTGATGTGCACACTCGTTAATTACAGATGCTCACATGGAAGCTTTCCCTTCCCCCTTCTCCTCCTAACTCAGCTTGTGAGCACCTCTGCCCCGGATAATTATCTGGGGTTCTTACACTCACCTGCAACATTTAATACCACTCCTACCTGCTTTTGTAGTAAATACTGCATCCCTGTCATTAGCAACTTCATCGGCCTTGTGTGGGGATTCCTAATAAGATAACTTAGCATTGATTCCATGGTAATAAATATTTTAAATTAAAAAAATAAATTATTTGTATATATTTATAGAAATTAAAAAATAAAATCAATTTGCAGTATATAATGAAATAGATATTTTACAAAAAGTTTTCTAGGTCTTAGTGAATCCGGGCATTTAAACTCACTAAACTTCTGCTGCCTTATATTAAATTGGGGTGTTAATAACCTCTAATTCATAGTGTTATGAGAATTAAATGAGCAAAGTGTTCAATATTGTGAGCTCTTATGATTAGTTCTCAAAATTATGCCAGTAATTTGTTAACTAGGAAATATTAAAATGAAGGCATCATTTCTCTTAGCCTAGGGTAATTGTCACAATAACAGACACAGATTTGTGAAGCTTTAATTAATAAATCTGAGTTACTCAGATGCCATTTGCCATTCAAAACCAGTGGTTTCCTCAGTGCTGCTCAAGTCACCTAAATGCTTTCATGCCATTTCCAAATGAGCGCTGGTTTTGCACCAGGATAATTTGCTCAATAAATATTTACCAAGTGGCATTATCTGATTATTTCCCATATCTTTTGGCTTTGTGACCAGCTTAGCTACTACTCACAATGAATAGCAGGGAATAATAATATCCTTAACAATTTCTGATTCCGGACCACTTACACTATAGTTAGTGAATCAACAGGAAATAAGCTCAATTAGCTAACATATTCTTCCAATGTCAAATTAGTAGGTTAAGCCTTGAGCATTTGAGCATTTCCAAAAATTTCCATCAGGAGTAGAAGAAACATGGGCAAATATTAAATAAATATAGACTGTGTCTGTTTACAAAATGCTTGTCATTCTGCTAGGCTGGAAGATGGGCCATCAAGGAGAGCAGCAATTATATAAGCCATAATACTGGGTATAAAATCACCACCACGGCATTGGCACATTGCAGCTCTTCAGAAAATGAGAATTCCTGTTCTCTGCTCCCTAGGCTGTTACTGCTCTACATCGGCCAAAACCTCTTCCAAGTGCTTCAGTCCCAGCATGCTACCTCAGCAACTCTGCCTTTCCAAGAAATTCTCCCAATCCCTGGCCCCCTTTCTCACTGCTTCTCAAGTTCCTAACTGATTTGGCACTTAGCATTTACTGCCTGGTATTGTATTAAATATATATATTAAAACATATATATAATATATATGTAATATATATATTTAATATATATATTAAAACTCTTTCCACGTATTTCTTCCAAGGTGATCCTAAACTCCTCGAGAGAAAGATTGCCTTTATGCTGCTCTGGTTTCATGGTAGGCTGGATGACTCATTGCTTGAAGTCCCACATAATCAGTTCACATCTGTGCGAGGAAGTTGGTAGAAACCATCTTCTATAATAAGGTACAAACCTCAAAGTGATATCTGGGACTAAGGTCATTAAGAGAACATGATAATCTCAATTAACATACACACACTACTATATATAAAATAGATAATCAACAAGGACCTACTGTATAGCACAGGGAGCTCTACTCAATATTCTGTAATAACCTATATGGGGAAAGAATCTGAAAAAGAATGGATATATGTAGATGTATAACTGAATCAGTTAGCTGTACATCTGCAACTAACACAACATTGTAAATCACCTATACTTTAATATAGAATAAAAATTAAATTAAAAAAAAAAAGAGAACATGACAGAACAAGCTTTTGAGGGAATACGGTGGGGCAGAAAGTACTCATAGAACTCTGGCTTAAGAATATTTACTCAATTCAGGTAGACACCCACATCTCCATAAGAACAGCTTTATAATGCACAAGTTTCCATTTATGCATTTAATGACAGAAGTAAAGTAATCACCTGGGTTCCAAACTTGCCTCTTTACTTACTGGTTGTATGGCATTGAAAACGTTACTTTATTTCTGTAAGGTTTAGATTTGTCATCTGAAAAATGTGGGTAATAAAGGCATCAATCCTGTCAGTTAGGTTCAGAAAAGAGAAATGAAAGTAAATATTTCATCTGGGGGAATTTATTATAAAGAACTCTTTTCCCTGGTGTTGGAGTGCTGAATGATCAGAAGGAGAGCCTAGATAGAGGTAACGTGAGTGTGACAGTGGCAGAGCTGGATGAACAAAGAGAAGTGGGGTTATCAGCACCGAGGAGCCCAGAGGAGAAGCAATGGGAGCCACGAGGAGTCGGGCCTCTGACTTTGGTTGCGGGGGTACCTCCAGCAGGTGCCGGGATCTCTGAGAAAGCTCAATGAGGCTGCTTCTGAAAGTGCCTGAAGAGGCTGAAGGATGGAGCCACTTGCAGCTGTCTGAGGTGGCCTGCCACTCAACATACACTGCACCCATCAGAACCCGGAAGTTCCTTCCCCCCTCCTCCTGCCTCCAGTCTCCCTCTGGTGCCCCCTATTGGGAGAAGTGACTGATGTCAGCTGGCAAAGAAGAATGAGATTTGCGGAGTCCAAACCACAGCGATACAAAGCAGAGTACAGACGCTGGGTTTGAAGCTCAGACGTAATAGCATAATAACTTCTCTCTTTGTTAAATGGGATAATATGGTGCAGAACCCATAGATTTGCCTTCAGAATTGCTTGAGGTATTGTACTGAAGCATTCAGCACAGAGAATGGAACATAACCGCGATTAATAAAGGTTAAATATTTATTATTATTGTATTGGTGTTTGTTGCTTTTGTTTTAACTAAGCTATCTATCAAACATCCTTAATTTACTAGAGTAGTATTAATAAAATTTGATAACCCTCACCTGTTTGGAGCTACAAAATGGCATTTCAAATGTATACCTGTGATTCATGTAACTCACAAACACTAAAGGTAAATAGCATGTTAGGAAGCAAAGTGCCTGCCCTTTCAAAATCAACCATCAGATACATATACACATCACTACATATAAGATAGATAACCAGCAAGGACCTACTGTATAGCACTGGGAACTATAGTCAATATTTGGTAATAAACTATAAGGGAACAAATCTGAAAAAGTATATATATAACTGAATCACTGTGCTGTACACCTGAAACTAACACAAAATTGTAAATCAACAGTACTTCTGTTAAAAACATATATATATATATATATATATATAAAATCAACTTCTTCATCTGTCAGAACATGGAATTCTTGACATCACAGACTTTCATTGCTAATCTACATGTATATATAACTGTTGGTCACTGATTTCCTAATTAGTGCTTTTAGACTCTTACAATGTAAACCAATCTACCCTGTATTGGGTTTTAGGACAGAGGGAACATAACAGCAACCGTTTGGCAGACACTTGTTCCTTCTCTTGGTCTAAAGGAAGAATATTCCTTACCACCAATCAGCATGGTGCAGATGGAAAAGATCTTTTCTGCATCTGTATTAGCAGAGACATTCCCAAACCCAACGCTGGTGAGGCTGCTGAGTGTGAAGTACAGAGCGGCAATATAGGCACTTCGGATCGACGGCCCCCCCAAAGTATTGTTACCGTAGTATGGAGATTCCAGTCTCTTTCCCAGCTCAGGAAGCCAACCTGCAATGGAAAAAAAATGAGCCTTTAAGCCCCCAAAATAAAGTCTCGGCATTAGCACCTGGGCGTAATGATGAATGAACATTTAAGGATACACGAAGTTGCTCAGGAGAAAGAAGAAAGTTAAAAGGAAGTTCAAGTCAAGGAATTAGATTCCATGGCTCTAAAAGCAAAGGCATCACTTTCATGCAACTGTTTTATAACACACACAGCAGAGAAATATGCATTCAAGAGTGGATTGGTGGTCAAAGCTGAACAGGTTACTCTAATGCAAGAACTACCTGCAGTGACAGAACCTGGGATTTCTACTCTCGGTAACAATGTTGTACATTTCACTAGCTGTTAAGCTTATTTCTCAATTGGAATTTTAAGAAACAAAGGGGTTGAGTAGGTATTTTTCAACCCTACATGATAGTAAACAGCAACCAACACAAGAATCTACACTTCATATAGGCAAGATGGACTTTATTTCTTTTCTTTTTTTTTTTTTGATGGGTTTTATTTCTAATCTGTACAACCTTTCCTTATTTTATTCACCTGACCTGATATCAGTTGCCTTATAGGTCTTAGCTCATGTTTTCCTCAGGAAGCCTTCTCTACAACCTCATTCTGCTGTTTGGGGGTGGTGGGGGAAAACTGCACAACTATGAGGTTCCTATAATGGAATTGGGTGCCCCCCTACAACTGTTTCATGATACTGGTGTATATATGTGTCAAAACTTATGTAATTAAATGCTTCAAATATGTGCATTTTATTTTATGTCAATTATACTATCATAAAGCTGTAATAAAGCTATGTTAATAAAGATGGGAAATAGCCAGTATAATATTAATAATAATACAATGAAAACACGACACAAAGACCACTTTAAAATCCTTTACTGGAAATATTTTCTCTTTATTTTCTCTTTAAAATTTTATATTTAAAAATTCTGTGTGTGTGTGTGTGTGTTATGAAACACTATGGCAATTCAGCTCAACCCATAAGGTCCATGAGACTTTTGTTAAGGGATGTTAGGCATTGACCACTCTTTCCTTATTAACACTTCATTTAATGGCTGCCCAAGAAGAGATGGAAAGTCATTACATTGTTTAAGTAGTAATAATGCTGTCATTATCAACTAAAGTTACAGATTATGCAACGGTGCTAGGTAATTAAAATGCAGATTTGAAACAACTGGGTTCCTTGAGATCAAACAGAAATGCTCAGTGGCAAGTACTCTGTCTCATTTATCTTGTCTCTAGAGAAGTGTTTCTCAACCATTAGCTTGCCTCTGAAATATCTAGACAGCTTGTTAGAGACAGCCAGGTCCTATCCCTGGAGTTTCTGGTACAGCACATGGGAAGGTTGGGGAGAAGGGTTGAGAATTTCCCTTTGTAATAGGTTCCCACGTGATGCTGATGCTGCAGATCTAGGGGACCAAAGTCCCTCGACTTCACAAAGTCACTTTCTAGAACAGTAGTTCTCAATGCTGACTACAGCTGGGAAAGCATTTTAAAAATACACTGTCCAAGTGCCACCTCCATGTACTGAATCGAAATTTCTGGTTCCGAGTTCAGGTACTGATATTTTTTAAAAGTTCCCCAGTAGAACCTGATGTGAAGATAGAACTTAGAACCATCATTCCAGAACTTAGCAAAGCCCCTAACAATAGTAGAGTTTAATAAATATTATTTCTAAAAGTGAAAGAATTAATGAACATATAAATTGTTCTTGCCCTCTGCAATAATATGACAACACAGATGCAATATAGCAACACATGAGCATTTATAAATTTGTACTAGATCTCTGCACAAAGTATAATGAATGTATTTTTTGATGACAGAGAATAATAATAAAATGAAAATTGCACATTATGAAAGCTGACACCATTAGTAAGCTATGACCATTTATTCTGTCTGGAAAGGCTTCGTGAAGGAATAAACTCCACATTCAAACACAGATTTAAATCTGGACTCTTCCATTAAATCTGGACTTTTCCTTCCATCTTTGGGAATGACTAACTTCTCTGAGCTTCATTTTCTCATTTGTAGAAATACGGACACTATCTAACTTGTACAGTTGCAGTGGGATTAAATGAGATGCCACATGAAGAAATGCAACCCCTGTTAGTGGCAGATATTATATTAGTATATAATATCTCTTTTCTCTCTCTTTCTCATGTTACTTAAATTGGAACAGAGAAAGTACAAAATTCAGAAAATAAGAGGAAATATGAGATCAGGAGTGAGTCATAATGGAAAAGGAAGGTGGTGACTAAGTGTACTCAGTAGAACCCAAGGATGCCATCTGATAGAACTGAGCATTTCTTAACTAATAGAAATGACAGGGAGGAAATCTAGGTGACAGTAGTTTTAAAACTGGGGGAGTTATACACCTATTTGTGAACCTGAAGAAAGACATGCTCCTTTTCTCAGGACAAAGCACACATGGAGACACACACACAATTTTGTGTACATTTTCAGGTGGTTCATGGCCTTTTCCTACAGGCTGGGTCCAAGGGCCCAGATTAAAGAGTTCTGCTCTAGAATTTTAAGTGAAGGGAAGGAGGAAGTGATAAAGCATGATTTGGTAAAACCTGGTTTAATCCTGTATGGAAAAAAATTTAGACATAAAGACAGCTTATCCAAGGTTAATTAAAGAGATATCACAAAAGCAAAGCACATGTGCATTTAAAAAATATTACTGGTGTATTTGTATGCACTGTCGGGGGAGAGTCAAGACAAGTAAAATCAGGAAGCAGAGATGACATCTGAATAAATCATTGTACGCAGGATGCTGATTTCTGCAGAAGAGTGCTCTTACAGGCATTTGACCCAAGCCTTGTCAAGTACGGCCAACTACAAGATGTTGAATGGCTGGTGGGTTGGCTATTTCTCAAGTGCCTTCCAAGCAGTGCTCTGAAAGAGATGTCATGTTTCTGCTCAAAAATGAAGTGATTAGAGGGGCTTGCCCCTTTGTTCCATGTTGGTCATTCCCACTAATTCTGGGGAAGTCTGAGCAGCTGAAAAATGTCATTTTGCCCAGAGAGTAAATATTGCAAGACTAATTTTTTTATTTGATGCACAGAGGAATGAGAAAAACACCACCACACACAGTAAAGCCACTGCTTCCTCTCAGCTGAATCAGCTATAAAATCAGGTCATGAATTAAAAAACTGGACCCATCTACTGATCTTGAATTTGCTTACAGAACCTCAAGTTTTCTCATTAGAAAAATAAAACCAGACAAACCCAGCCAAAACCTTTGATTAAATTCCTTAATTGTAACAAAAGTAAAATGTTTAAAAATTCTCCAAACCAAATCAGTTTTCATAGAATTTGATTTTCTTAATAAAATAGGATAAAATTTTGTGATAGGTCATAAGGATTATATTAGATTATACTCTCACTCAATTCCTGTTCATTTACATATGTGTGAAACTGTCTCAGAAGCGATTTAGGGAGCAAAACACAGACAAACAACAGACCTACTTTTGTTGATATATCTTTTCTGTCTAGCCAACTGTTCTGTCTATTTTCAGAAGCATCTTGTTTTTTAAGAAGGGTTGTTACTAAACTGTGTTGCAGCTATTGGAGCACAAGCAATAATGATGATAAAAAAAACTTGGTAACACGGAAAGGAGGTAACACCCACAAATCCGGGGATGGGCTCTGGGGGCTAAAAAAAACTTTTTCACAGAACAGCTTGTCCGAAATGAGAGCACATGTTCCACTGTAACAAGACAGCATGTCACTGTACTGTACAGAAGAAGCAATTTAACCAATTTGGAAGCCAATCTTTTTTTAATCTAGAGAAACCCATCTCTAAAGGGATGTCCTAGAACAGTCTGTCTGCTTTTGCTTGATTTTTTTCCCCTAAATTTTGAAGGAAAAAGCATACACAAAATGAAGTAGAATCTAAATATACTGGATACACTGCCATCTGATAAAAACAAAAGATATCGTAAAATAATCCTGTCATCACCAAAATAGATTAGATGAATAAAACAGAGGAGATTTATGAAATAAATATCAATTTCAAAGACAGAATGACTCTTAATGACCACGCCCAGAAGAGCCTATAATTAAGCATGATAATTCAATCCATATACTTTTCATTGCATACTTAACCAGTATTTTGCTTTATTACATACTTTTAACTCTAAACAGGAGTTTCTTTTTATTTTAATCTAGGTTTCATACAGTAATATACTTACTTTTATGGTGCATATGTTTACATTCACAGTTTGTACAGGTGTGACCTGCTTTATACAATAGATGTGTTCCTGAAAAGTTTAGTTTATATTAGTATTTGGTAAATTAACAGATATTTTAGCTTTAATGAAAGGAATAGAAGCATGTTATTTAAGGAAAGCCTATGGGAGGGTGTGGCCAAGATGGCAGAATAGGAAGATCCTGAGATCACTTCCTTACACGGGCACACCAAAATGACAAATACTTACAGAGCAACTTTGATGCAAAAGTGTAGAAGACTAGAAGAAAAGATCTTCTTTAACTAAAGATGTAAAGAAGGAACCACAATGAGATGGGTAGGAGGGGTGGAGATGGGGTATAGTCAAGACCCATACCCACAGATGGGTGACCCACAAACGGGAGGATAATTACAATTTCAGAGGTTCTCCCCAAGGAGTGAAGGGTCAGAGTCCCACCTCAGGCTCCCCAGCCTGGGGATCCTGCACTGGGAAAATGAGCACCCAGAACATTTGGCTTTGAAGGACAGTGGGGCTTACTTTCAGGAAAGCCAGAGGGCTGTGGGAAATAGAGACTCCACTCTTAAAGGGCACGCACAAATTCTCACACATTCCAGGACCCAGTGCAGAAGCAGTCATTTGAAAGGAGTCTGGGTCAGACACCCTGCTGATCTTGGAGCTCACCCTGGGGTCAAAGATGTTGGAGGCAGACATTCTGGGGAGCTCGTTCTACCACAAGGACGCTGTTGCTGGCAAAGTACCACTTTGGGATCCTCCCTCTAGCTTATTAGTGTTGGGACCCAGCCCCAA